AAAATGTGGTGTATATATATGTAATGGAAAAGGAAGGATATTCTGTCATTTCTAACAACATGAATGAGCCTGGAGAACATAATGCAAAATACAATAAGCCAGGCACAGAAATACGAATGCCACATTGACCTCACTTGCATGTGAAATCTCAAAAAGTCAAATACATAGAGGCAGAGGTTAGTAGGATGGCTACCAGGTGCTCAGGATTGGTCAAAAAGTACAAAATTTCAGTTAGGAGGAAAACATTCAAGATCTGCTGCACAGCATGGTGATGGTAGTAAATAATAATGTATTGTATACTTGAAAATGCTAAGAGAGGGGCCAGGCGTGGTAGCTCACACCTGTAATCCCAGCACTTTGGGAGGCTGAGGCAGGCAGATCACTTGAGGTCGTGAGTTTGAGACCAGCCTGGCCAACATGGTGAAACCCTGTCTCTATTAAAAATACAAACACTAGCTGGGCATGGTGGTTGTGCCTGTAATCTCAGCTACTTGGGAGGCTGAGGCAGAAGTAGCACTTGAACCCAGGACACTGAGGCTGCAGTGAGCCAAGATAGCACCACTGCACCCCAGCCTGGGCGACCAAGTGAGACTCTGTCTCAAAAAATAAAAATAAAAAATTAAAATTAAAAATTGCAAGAGAATAGTAGGTTTTAAGTGTTCTCATCACAGATAAAAGATAAATATGTGAGGTAATACATATGTTAATTAGCTTGTTTTTTTGTTTGTTTGTTTTGTTTTTAAAGAAATGGAATCTTGCTGTGTGTCCCAGGCTGGTCTCAAACTCCTGGGCTAAAGCGATCCCCACATCTTGGTCTCTCAAAGTGCTGAGATTACAGGCGTGAGCCACTGCGCTTGGCCTAATTAGCTTGATTTAGCCATTCCACAATGTAGTCATAATTTAAAACATCATGTTGTACACCATATATATATATACACACAATAATAAAAAGAGAGTTTGCAAAAATATTTTCTATACATCGTGCTATAGCAGAGAACTTCTAGAATTTTTCAGTTGCAATCATGGGTGAATTTATAATAGGCATTTTTTTTTTAGACAGAGTGTTACTCTGTCACCCAGGCCAGAGTGCAGTGGCACCATCTCGGCTCACTGCAACCTCTGCCTTCCAGTTTCAAGCAATTCTCCTACCACAGCCTCCCAGGTAGCTGGGATTACAGGCATGCACCACCATTCCCAGCTAATTTTTGTATTTTTAGTAGAGATGGGGTTTCACCATGTTGGCCAGGCTACTGAAGGAGGTCTTGAACTCCTGACCTCAAGTGATCCACCCACCTCAGCCTCCCAAAGTGCTGGGATTACAGGCATGAGCCACTGCACCCAGCCTAATAGTCTTTTGCCATTAAGGCTAACATGCAACTTATTTAAAACTTTATTTTCTTAACAATAGAATGAGCATTGAAAAAATAAAAAACTAAATGAAATATCCCATATTCCCTTCTTCTAAGTACTATTTCTGGATACATGTATTTAAAACTTCTTTAGTATAAAACATGGTGAAACTAGCTCTCACGAGGTCTGCCTTGTACCAGCATGTCATATACAGTCTCACCAGTCCGCTAATGAATATTATCTCCGTTTCACAGATGATATAGCAGGAGGGTCAGAGAAACTGAGTAACTTGCACAAAATCATGCCGCTTGTAGGTGGAGAACCAGGATTCTAACCTGGGGCTGTCTGGAGTGAAAGTCCTGTGATTTCTCCAAATAGGTCAAATTAGCTTTGACGATATGGTTATTGCTGCTAGGCTGATTGAGTAAGAAAGGGCTGTCGTCTTAAGTACTAAACATGCTCACACCTTTTAAACAACCTCGTTGATAGTGTGTATCTTTTTGGTGTCTTTGGCAATTTCACTGAAAAAGACTTCCTATTATTTTCCTTAGCCTCCTTTAGTAGCAGTTTTTATTGGGGGAACATTCCAGTTATGGTTTGGCTGTGTCCCCACCCAAATGCCATCTTGAATTATAGCTCCCACAATTCCCATGTGCTGTGGGAGGGACCTGGTGGGAAGTCATTGAATCATGAGGTGGGCCTTTCCCGTGCTATTCTCGTGATGGTGAATAAGTCTCACGTGATCTGATGGTTTTATAAAGGGGCGTTTCCCTGCCCAAGCTCTCTTGTCTTGTCTGCCACCATGTGAGACATGCCTTTCACCTTCTGCCATGATTGGGAAGCCTCTCTAGCCATGTGGAACTGTAAGTCCATTAAACCTCTTTCTTTTGTAAATTGCCCAGACATATCCAATTGCCATACCAATTGGGTACGTCTTTATCAGCAGCTTGAAAATGTTCTAATATAGTCCCTTTGTGGCATTACAGTGTATCATTTCCCACTGCTGCTGTAATAATTTACTGCAAACCCAGTGGCTTCGGGCAGCACAAATTCCTCACCTGACCTCCGGTTCTGGAGAATAATTGCTCCCAGAGATGTCTGCATCCTAATTTCTGGGACCCCTGAGGCCATGACCGGGGAGCTGGATCTGGAGGTTGGAAAGCTGAAGTGTGTCTCCCAGGCTGAATTTAAGGTGTCTGCAGCTGTGCTCCTTCGTGGAGGCTCTTGGGGAGAATCTGGTTTCTCATCTTTTCCAGCCTTGAGGGGCACCCACATGTCTTGGCTCATGGCCCTCCTCCATCTCCAGAGCCATCGGGCTGGTGGGTTCTTCCTCACTCTGAACTTGACTCTCTGGCCTCCTTCTTTCACTTGTTTATTTCTTTTTATTTTGAGCTGGAGTCTCGCTCTTGTCCCCAGGCTGAAGGGCAGTGGTGCAATCTTGGCTCACTGCAACCTCCGCCTCCCGGATTCAAGCAATTCTCCTGCCTCAGCCTCCAGAGTAGCTGGCATTGCAGGTGCCTCCCACCATGCTCGGCTAATTTTTGTGTTTTTAGTAGAGACGAGGTTTCACCCTGTTGGCCAGGCTGGTCTCAAACTCCTGACCTCAGGTAATCCGCTCACCTCGGCCTCCCAAAGTGCTGGGATTACAGGCATGAGCCCCTGTACCTGACCACCCTCTTTCACTTGTAACAACCCCCGTGGTTATGTTGAGCCTGTCTGGATAGTCTGCCAAAATGACCTCCCCTGTCACAGCCTCATGGGTCCCGGGAATTAGGATGTGGACATCACTGGGAGCAATTATTCTCCCTTCCAGATTCATGTCCTTCCCATATGAGAAAAATCTTCATTCTGTCCCAACACCTCCCAAAGCCTAGATCTATCACCCATGGTGAACCATCTCTGCTGGGTGGGCGTTTCTACGTCTCTCAGTGTTTTTGGAAAAGTTCTTACAGGTCTGTAGTAAGAAATTCCAACAATATAAAGTGTTAGAGAGTGAAAAGTAAGTCCCACTCCCGTGCCAGATCTTTCTGTTTTGTTCTGTTGTTGTTAGTTGGTTTTTTGAAACAGAGTCTCGCTCTATTGCCCAGGCTGGAGTGCAGTGGCATGATCTTGACTCACTGCAACCTCCGTCTTCTGCGTTCAAGTGATTCTCATACCTCAACCTTCTGATTAGTGAGATTACAGGTGTGTACCACCACATCTGGCTGATTTTTGTATTTTTACGAAAATAGAGATGGAATTTCGCCATGTTGCCCAGAGTGGTCTCAAACTCCTGGCCTCAGATGATCCGCCCGCCTTGGCCTCCCAAAGTGCTAGGATTACAGGTGTGAGCCTCTGTGCCCAGCCTATCCCAGATCTGTAGCCTTCCAGGTCCCTTCCCCAGAGGTTACAACAGTTGTTATTTTGTGTACTGTCACAGATGTTCTGTGCATAAAGAAATGTGTGCTTATGGTTTTTGTTTTTGTGCAAGAATCTTTTGTTCACCAAGATGCACTTTTTTTGGCCAGCCTTTCTGTGTGAGTACACACACACACAGCTCCAAAAATAAGAGCCAGCCTTCACCAATGCACACAACCTGCAGGTGACTTCTCAAGTTGTGCTACTTTTAGCCTTGCTGGAGCCGTATGTATTATTGCTGGGCTCAATATCTGGAGCCTGAATTTATAGCAGTGGAATTCTAGGGTGCGAGTGACCTAGATAGAGAAAAAGAAGACAGGATCTGCTAATTTACATGACAAAAACAATTCAAAGCCCTATAAAAGGAAAGATCAGTTTCTTCTCCTGTAACTATCTTGATAGAAACAGCTTGTTTGAAAAATCTAACTGGGTGAACTCCAGTTAGATCTGGTCTACTGGGTGATTCGTTGGCCATAGTCTCTTGACATTTTTAGTTGACCTTGGGAGTCCTTTCAGGGAGCTGCTTTTGATGAGCACATCATTCAGCCTGAGATGGACAGGCCTAATGCCCTGCCCTGCCCGTCTGTGCTCATGAAATGTTCATCAAGGAGGCAGGGCGTGGACTCACCTGCTGCCTCCCATCTGCACGGGGGCCTGTCACTTGGAAAACGCATACTCCCTTTGCAAATTCCTTCCCCCTTTATGCCCTCAGCACCTTGTGTTATTTTGGCCCTCATCCTAGTTGTGCCTTTCATAATTCATCACCCCTGCTGTACTGAACAGTTCTAGGATGTCATCAAGGTGGCCTTGAGGATATCCTCAAGGTGGTGCCTCTCTCTCCCCTGTTTTTGTCCCAAGCTAGCATGGTGCCTGCTGGTGGTGCTGAACAATGGGACTCATTTGGAGAGCGCTTTTTTTGGTCATGAATTTTAATGATTCCAGGTTAGCCCATTTCCTAGGAATGATAAGCTTGGCTTTGATAGATGATGGCTAACAAAAGTTTTTATCTGCTAAAGTTTAGGATGAATTAGTTGAAGGACAGCCCTGACAACAGTGGTGGGGCCTCCTGTGACTGCTCCTTTATTGTAGTGATACCCATTCTGCTCTTCAGGAGAGGTGGATGCAGCTAAGCATGCAGCAGAACACGGCTCCCGTGATCCGGGAACATCGGCGTTTCAGATTCTTGCCTGGGAATGTTGGTGAAGGCTGTAGCTGGGGCTCAATTCTGCTTTGTGACTGTCATCGCTTTGCAGGCCACCGAATCCCTTTTGGAATCATCTTTGGTGGAACTGATGTAAATGAAGATGCCAACCAGAAGGAAAAAAACACAGTGATGAGAAGAGTTCTCGAGGAAGCCAGGTAATACTTGTGGGAATCTCACCCATGTCAAACACTTAAACCCTGTGGATGGAATTCATTGAAATGGAAAGACCAAGGGAACATTGTCGGGAAGGTTTACATCTTACCACTCAAAATCAATTTCATGTAACCTTTTCTTTTATTTGCTACATTTTTATTCTGCCGCCAATAGTCATTGCTAACAGGTTATTTCACGTAAGTCTTTAACTACAGTTGATATTAGAGAAGCCTCTTTAGAAGGGTCTGCATGGAGCCGGGCACAGTGAGGCACGCCTGTGTTCCTAGGTACTCGGGAGGCTGAAGCGAGAGGATCACTTGAGCCCAGGAGTCCAAGGCTGTAGGGTGCTATGGGTGCACTCTGGCCTGGGTGCAAGCCCTCTTCTCGACAAAGAGGTGATCTGAATGTAGAAAACACGGAACACAGGCAAACTCCAGCCTTATCGGCACACAAGTTAGGATCTAGTTTGCGTCAGGTTTGCCCAAGTCAAATGTGTTTGGCATGGCTCTTATCTATAATATAGCTTTTTGATATATATATATATATATATATGCCATTTGCAAGAAGGGTCACCACCTGGATTTCTAAATGGTGACTCAGTCCTTTTCCTTGGGTATGTCCCTCCATTTGTCCCGGGAACCTTAGAGATAGCTGCTGTGAGGACAGCGCTCGGTGCTCTGAGTGGTGCTTCTCAAAGGGGTCACTGTGATAGTCCTGGGGGCTACCCTGCACATCTCTGGTCCCAGACACCACCCGCTGGTGGTGCACCCTCCAGGCACCACAGCTACCCAGCAGGTCTCCCTATAATTCTAGTGCCCCCAGGGTGGGGGAACTTACTAGAGAATTTCTTCCAGTGCTGTACTCCCCAACTTTATCCACGTCGAAGTGGTGAATGTAGGTTCATGGGAGGCTGTTGTCCAGGAGTGGCCCCTGCACTGGGCCCCAGCAGACCAGCCCAAAACAGAAAGGACTCACTCTTGCTGAGCACTGTGTAATCCAACTGAACTTTGAAATGGGGCAGTTTTCTTTTTTCTTTTCTTTTCTCTTTCCTTTTCCCTTTCCTCCACTCTCTTCCTTTCCCCTCCCCTCCCCTCCCCTCCCCT